AGCGGAGGATGGATTGGAGTAGGGAGAGACAGGAGGCAGGGATATGAGTCTGCAGGTGTGAGGAAGGGCTTGGGGGAAGAAATGAGTTCAATTTTATATATGTTGTATTTAAGATATCTCTATGACATCTAGTTTGAGATATCTAATAAGCAGGTGGAGATAGGAGATTAGAAGTCAGCAGATAAACTAGGGCTGGACAGGTGGATCTGCACAGAGATGACCATTGAAACCATGTGAGCTGATGAGATCACCAAATGAAAAAGTATTGAGGTAGAAGAGAAGCCAATGAAGGACAGATCCTTGGGTGACATGCATGACTAGTGAGTATGACATGATGCAGATCCAGCAAAGGATCAAAGAGAAGTGGTCAGAGAGGTAGGAGGAGAGCCAGGTAGTAGGAGAATTATAGGTAGGAGAGCAGTGCCAGGAAAACATAGGGAGAAGAGATTATCCTGGCTATTAAGGATGAGGACTGAGAAAAGACCAATGGATGTGGCAATTAAGAGATTTAAGTAATTTTGGAGAGAACAGTTTCAGTGGAGTGATAAGATCAGAAGTTAGACTAGAGAGTTAAGAGACTGAGAGGTAAGAGTGGAGTCACCTAATGTAGATGACCTCAAGAAGTTTAGCCACAAAAGGGAGGAGAGATACAGGGCAATAGTTAATGAATATGAATGGATCAAATGAGCTTTTGCAAAGATAGGTGAAACACAGGCACATTTTTAGGCGGTAGGGAAGCAGCCAGTAGGCAGGGGAAAATTGAAAATTAGTGAATCTAGAGAGGTGATAGGACAATTTTCTGGAGAAGATGAGATGCAATGGGATCACTCATACAAGTTGAAAGGCCACCTCTTCATATGAAGTAGGTGAAGAATGAGAGCGGCAGAAGGCGTCCATATGACTGATGAGAGACGAAAAGTAGGGGAGAAGAGGAAGCTCTAGAATGGCAGAATGTACACTACTTTTTTTGTCTAACAAAGGGGATTGTTCTCGCCTGTGGGAAGGACTTGAACTAAAGGGGAGGTGGAGCAGGGGGTCCTAACTGGAAATCCAGGAAAAACCTCAGGAATGTAAAAAAAGAGGGGAAAAGGGGGAAAGTTCTCCACCTTGGAGAGAAATTGGTTAGGGAGAGAGTAAAGTTTAAAAAGCCCACTCCGCAGACGGCCCTATGCAGTCTGGATCCACCTGACGTTGCTTTGAGAAATGTCAGTTTTGCGGCTGCTCTTTGACTGCACGTTTCATTCGGAGTACCGCCTCCTTGGTTTGTCTTTTCCTCTACCCCTTCCCCAGCTGCTAGTGTTTCCCTTCCTGAGATGACCTTATGCTTATTTTCTAGATGCCTTGTATTTATTTGTACGTGTCAATAGAATGTAAACTACTTGAGGGTAAGGGCTGTTTCTTTTTTGTCTTTATATCTCCAGTATTTAGCACAGAACCTGGCACATTTTAAAAAAAATTTTGGAACAACCTTTTGATTTCATTGGTATACAGAACTTCCAGCAAGGAAACACTCTATGAATGTGGATTTGCCCCTGCTCTGCAACTTAAAAGTTAAAGATTTCACAGACAGGGACCATGCAGTATAGGGGAGTATCCAACATGCCACATGGGCAATACTCCCAAGCCAGATTAAAATGTAATTGGGAAATATTTCACAAAGTAAACAAAATACACTAAAATAGAGATAACATCACATTTAAAAACTAAGTTAGCATGTGGTACCTCCGTTTCTATTGGAATTTGCAACCACTGGTGTAGAAGATAGAAAGATGGTTTTAGAGTCAGAAACACCTGGGAACAAAGCTCCCCTTTGACAATTCTCAGTACTTGACACATAGGAGATGCTTAATAAATGCTTGTTGATTGATTGATTGGAAATTAATGAGTCAAGGCTAAGTTTTCAGGAGCTGGAATCTCCTTTGGGGATGTATTCATAGATGCAAAGCAGATGCTCAAACTCATTTGTGTGTGCTCATGTGTGTTAGCTCCATGAACTTGCTGCATCCTAAATTTATTCTATTTGAGCCAGTGCTGTAAGGATTATTTGGGGGTTTTCCTTCCAGAATTTTGTTTTTTTCTTGTGGAGTTTTGTGTTAGCAAATTTTGGGGACATAGAAAAAGAGCCCTCTGTATATACTTGACTAGCCACTATATGGAGTTCCTTCCTTTGCCTGGTACAGACTCTATTGTGTCACAGTATTTTAGAGCTGGTAGAGACCCTAGTGATCAATACATCCAATCCTCTTAATTCAATGACTTCTGCCTAGGAGGCATCCCCCCTCTCTTCCTCTTGTCAATAATACAAGTTTTAACTTGGTTTTGTAGATGATGCTAGTGAGTTCCTGGAACTTCTTTAATTGCCTTTCTTGAGGTGGAGTGGAGGGAAGGAAGATTGGACCGTTCATGAGTCTGTCTAATAATGTCACTTTGTAGTCACAGGGCTTTTCTAGCCCTCCATTGGAGATTTGTTTAGGTTAATATTTATACTGAGAAATTTTGAGCCTAACCAGAGGAGTCAAATACGTGGGGGTCATTTGCAACTTGTAAGCACTCCCAAGCGGGTCTAAACAAGATTAAAATGTAATTCCCATTTGATTTTGATGCGGTGATATATCAATAAAAAAAGAAATACATGAGCAGGTTCAGTTTTATAAGAACACGTGGCCCACAGGGATCCTTGTGTATGGGTTAGTGGCCCCTATTTCTATTTGAGTTTGACTCCATTGCCCTGCATTAATAAAACCACAGATGCAGGCAATAAATAAGGAAGACAGTGGTAATACATCATGGTAGATGTGACTTGTTGCTCACTCAGATAAATCCACTGCATTTAATGAACATGGCACCAAAGAGACCCACAAAATGTCTTTCTGCAAAATAATAACTAAATGGGACCCAACACATGCAGGAACTTTGTATGCAGTGCTCCTAATTCAGATGCTTGCGGTTGTGCAAACTAAGGACAGTAAGTGTAGGATGGAGAGGAAAGCATGGCCATAAGGACATCCAATGAAGTCCAACAGCTCTCAGAAGAGGAAAACCCAACCTTTTCCGTGTGACATTTTACTCAACCTCAAGCCAGGCCTTCTGTTCAGCTGGCATCTGACTGAACATCATGTCAATGAGTAAGCAATGTGGACTAAACACTGGCCATGCTCAGAATCTTATACTTGTCATTTTGGAGGAGATAGAAAAGCAGTAGAGGACTTCAAGAAACTTTAGGAGTTTAAATAAAATTCTTCATAGAACTTATAAGCTGGGAAAGGATCTTAAGAAGCCATCTGGTGATCCATTGCCAGCCAAACCTCTGGCTGGCTCTCATATCACCATGTGAATGTATAATCATTTACTTTTGCTTGTTTATTTTGTGCCAATTATTTCCTTTTAAACCAGTGGTTCTAAACCATTTTTTTCAGTGTATCACAGATCTCTTTGGCACTCTGGTAAAACCTACAGACTCCTTCTCAGAATTATGTTTTTAAGAGCATAAAATATTGGGGCAGCTAGATGGCGCAGTGCATAAAGCACCGGCCCTGGACTCAGGAGGACCTGAGTTCAAATCTGGCCTCAGACCAAACACTTGACACTTATTAGCTGTGAGACCCTGGGCAAGTCCAGGCAACCCAGTTGCCTAAAAAAAAGCATAAATTAAAATACATAAGATATGAGATTATAAAAGAAATCATTTATGATGAAATATATTGATCAACACACTAAAAAACAAAACAGCGTTCTGGTCTCAGGTTAAAAACCTCTGCTTTAGGCCATCCCATCATTGAATTTTTCTCATTACAAAAAAACAAAAACAAACATAAAAAACAAATAAACATTTCATCAAAACCTACAGACACAACAGCCATGTCTGACAGTATATATCACAGTCCACATTGGAATCCAGCCTTTCTTCTGAGAGGTCATTGGAACATAGAAACATGGATCTGGAGATGGAAGGGACTTTGTTGTTGTTCAGTCGTGCCTGACTCTGTGACCCCATTTGGAGTTTTCTTGGCAAAGATATTGGAGTAGTTTGCCATTTCCTTCTCTAGCTCATTTTACAGATGAGGAAACTAAGGCAGAGTTAAGTTACTTGCCCAGGGTCAGCTAGTAAGTGTCTGAGGCTAGATTTGAACCCAGGAAGATGAGTCTTTCTAGCTCCAGGCCCAACACTCTATCCATTAAGCCACCTAGCTGCTAAAGAGACTTCAGAGGACACCAGTTCCAACCCCTCCCTTTACAGATGAGAAAATTGTGGCCAGGGGAGTTTAAGTGACTTGTCCAATATCACAGAGTTAGTAAATATCTAAAGCAAAGTTTGAACTCAGGTTCTGACTCCAGAGATAACATTCTCTTCATTTTTCACAATCTAATCTCCAAGACCAAGTTTGCTCATTGCAATGTATTTGGTAGCAGCCTGGTAGCACAGTGGATAGAGCACTAGACTTGGAGTCAGGAAGAATTGAGTTCAAATTCTGCCTCAGATAATAGCTGTGTGACCCTCATTAGCTTACATAAACCTCTTTCAACTTGTTGCTTCATCTGTAGAAAGGGAATAATAGCACCTACTTCAGAGAGTTGTTGTAAGTATCAAAGGAGATAATATATGTAAAGTAGTTGGCTAACATTAAGGTGCTATCTAAAAGTTAGCTATTATTATTACTATCTTGATTTTTCCCCCCTGTTCTACTTTCTTCAGACTGCTTCAGTTCATAGGAAACTGAGGCAAAGAGTGACTTGCCAAAATCACACAACTATAAATGATTCAGGTGGGATTTGAAACAAAGTTCTCATGACTCCAAGTCCAATCATGTACAAATCTTTCAGTATTTCTCCGAATTTTTCATATTTGCAATTTCTGGTAGAACATAACATAAATTGTTGCATTTGCATGCCACAATTGGCTCAGTTGTTTTCCAGTTAATAGGCAACCATTTGTTTCTTTATTTGGCATGGTTTCTATTTTGCCATATGTTATATTTTGGTGTTTTGTTCCCCTTTTATAGGATCCGATGTCTACCTTCTTCCAGTTTGGAGCTTCCATCCAGCAGCAAGCCACTATCATGATGAAAATCATGCAGGATTATGACTGGCATGTCTTCTCTGTGGTGACTACCACTTTTCCTGGCTACCGGGACTTCATAAGCTTCATCAAGACCACGGTAGACAACAGCTTTGTTGGCTGGGACATGCAGAATGTGATAACCCTGGATACTTCCTTTGGGGATGCCAAGACACAAATTCAGCTAAAGAAAATCCATTCCTCTGTCATCCTGCTTTACTGCTCTAAGGATGAAGCCGTTCTGATTCTGAGCGAGGCCCGCTCCCTAGGCCTGACGGGCTACGATTTCTTCTGGATTGTTCCAAATCTGGTTTCTGGCAACACAGAGCTCATCCCCAAAGAGTTTCCTTCAGGTCTCATTTCAGTCTCCTATGATGACTGGGATTACAGTTTGGAGGAGAGAGTAAGAGATGGGCTGGGGATTATCACCACTGCTGCCTCATCCATGTTGGAAAAGTATTCATTCATTCCTGAAGCCAAGACCAGCTGCTATGGACAGATAGAGAAACCTGAGCTCCCACTTCATACCCTACACAAGTAAGAGGGTGTCTTTTTATTTCCACATATGGATTGATGAGGTTTGGTTTGGAATATGAGTTTTTCCCTCCTTAGGTTAATTCTAAGCAGTAGAATGCCTTCTGGCACACCCTTTTTTTGGGAGGTGAGAGAGGGTAGGTGAGGAGAGAAGTGGCTTAGATGTAATTTTTAATCTACTTCAGGAATGTCCATTGAGCAAATTACCTTAATCATTGCAGAGTGGTAACATATCTATAGCTTTTACTCTTAGAAATATGTTCAAGTGACTTGCCCAGGGTCATGCTACTAGTATGTATATGTCAAAGGCAGGATTGGAACACAGATCTTGAATTTGAGGGTAGTCACGTTGCTTCTGACCATACCATTAATAATAATGACTCATATTTACTACTGTCCTCTACAAGGACAGTATATTTTATATAAATGATCTCATTTGATAATCATTGACATTTGTGAACCACTGTAAAGATTACGAAATATTTTACATAATTCTATCCTTTGAGCCTCACAGCAACCCTGTGAGAAAGGTGCTACTACTGTTATTGTTCCAATTTTATAGCTGTGGAAATAACCTCGGAGAAGGTAAGTGACTAGCCCATAGTCTCATAGCAAGTTTCAGAGGTAGAATCTCAACCCAGATCCTCCTGATTTCAGGTGTTATACTTAATTGACTATATCACATTGCCTTATCCTACGATAAGGAAATAATAATTATTATTAATATAATATTAATATATTAATAATATTAATTCATTAATTAATATTCATAAAATAATACATCCTATAATAAGGCAATAATGATACCTTTGAACTAGTGCCAAGATTCTTGGATCCACATTACAAATAAGGAAATGGAGGCAAAGTGGGGTTAAATAGCTTACCTAAGATAACCTAACTAATAAGTAGTGGAACTTCAACTTGAACCCAGATCATAAGGTCATAGATCTAGGAACCTGAGGGGCCATCTATTCCAACCTCCTCATTTTACAGATGAAGAAACTGAGGCCTACAAAAGTTAAGTGATTTGCCTAAGGTAACAGGTCATTGCCAGTGGTGACATTTGAATCCAGGTCCTCTGACATGGTCTAGAGTCACTTCTCTTTTTACTATGACTCACAGATCTGATTCAAAATATTTAACAGTACCTGGTTAGGATTTATCCTAGTCATCCCCTTTCATATGGCTATGTCTGTTCAAAGATTTAAACCAATATTTGTGGTTGGACTGGAGTTGGAGTCAGGATCACCAGGGTTAAAATATTGCCTCAGATACTAGTTATATGACTCCCTTACCCTTCATGTGTCTCAGTTACTCGTCTCTAAAATGAGGGAGTATGGTCTTTTCCATCTCTGTATTATCCTGTTATCCCATGAACCTCAGCCAATTAGCAATGTTTAGAGATGCTAAAAATGATCACTCTTAAAGGAGAAAACTCTGAGATTCCTCTTGTTCCTTTTATCTAGAGGCATTGTGTTCAAGGGAGCACAATAGCCATTTGTCATTTGGAGAGCACAGATGTTGTCATAAGCTCATCCTCAAACTTTCATTGAGTTTTAAATCTGTTACTCTTTAGTAATATTACCTAATGGACTCATTCTTTTGGGGAAGGGGGCTAGGCAATGGGGTTAAGTGACTTGCCCAGGGTCACACAGCTAATAAGTGTTATGTGTCTGAGGCTGGATTTGAACTCAGGTCCTCCTGAATCCAGGGCCAGTGCTCTTTCCACTGTGCCACCTAGCTGCCTCACTAATGGACTTATTTAAAATCAGAGTGGGGGGGGCGGGACTTACACTCCTTCATGCTTGAAATCACATGCTGGAAATGAAGTCATACATTTTAAAATTTTCACTGCCTTTTTTGTCTCTTTCTTTTCATGGTGACCTCCTTAAAGATCTTGTTTCCAATTGTCATTTTCTATATTCTAAATCATTTCCAAATTCTCAGGAAGTATGCTCAGATGAATTAAGGCCTGACACAGATACCCATGTGGAAGCACTGTTTCTACATCCAGCCAGACCCAAAGAGAAGCTGGACTAATGAGTTCTCTCTGCTGGTAATGAGACTTGCCTTACAGCTGGAATATTTGAAAATTTGCAATTTTGATAGAAACATTAGTCAATTTGCAGGCAATGGAAATATAATTTTTATGGGGGGAAAAGAAGCAGTGAGTGATGAATGGCTCCCTATTCAGATTTCTTCACAATTACCACCCATTGGCTCCTTCTCTGAAAAATACCTGCTGGTATGAAATCTGGCTATATTATTTCCAGAGGTTCTGCTTTTGAATGCAGTAATTTTATAAGTGGCATTTCAGTCCCACAGAAACAATATATCAAATGTTGTAAATCATCTCTCTGCACCAGTACTGAGTCTACTAAGTCAGCATTTATTGAAATATCACTCAGTCTGGAGATAACTGGTACCCACCCAGGAAATGCAGTTGGTTGGTAGCCAGGTGACCCTCTCTCTTGGGCTACTCAGTTGCAGTTGGTACATTGAATCTGGGCATGAAGATGGTTCTTTGCTCTGTCCAATAAAGGATGGAACCCATGCTTCCTCCCTGTTGACTTCAAGCTGAATAAGTTCCAGGGAAAGATGTTAAAAGGGCAGGGGGATGGAGTCGGGGTCAGGATTGAAGAATGCTGCAATTTGGTGATAGCCCAAGATAATTAGCACTCCTTAGTCTGGAGAATCAGAGACATTATGATCAAAGTTGATAAGATTATGAAGGAAGCACAGAAAGAGTGAACAGAAACTTAATCTAACTGGATTTCAGTATGTTAGGAGTAGAGGGTACGCCTTAAAGTCTGAAAGACGTACATTTAAAAAATATAAAAGAGACTTTAACTTTTCATCTCAAGGAGTAAACTTTAGGACTCACTGATAGAATGCTAATTTTTGCTCATATATACGATCACTTTAAGCTTTTCAAAGTTCATAGAATATTTTATTTGTTCCTCACAGAAACCTATGAGGTGGGCGTTCTTAGCATCCATATTTGACAGATGTGGAAACTGAGGTTCTGAGGGTTTAAATGACTTATCCAGAGCCTCATAGCTAATAAGCATTTGAGATAGGATTTGAATCCAGGGCAACCTGACTCCCAGACTAGTTCTCTGTCTACTATACCACACTACTTCTCATACCTAATAGCAAAGTAGTTCTGTGATAGACCATGAAAGGGAGCTGAAGCTGTCATGTTTTAGAGAAATGATTCTGGTCTCTGGAGGTGACATCGGGGTAAGAGGGAAAGCCGTGCCTTTTAACAAGATGTCCATTGGGGGGTTACCTGGACTTTGGGGGCAATATAATTTCTTGTATTCTCATGGAATTTGGATACAGTGTCCCGTCCTGCTCAGGGATGAAAATGGAAGCTAAAATTCTCCCTGGAAAGACCTGGAGATGAAATCACCATGGTCCAGTTCATATTCCTGGAGTTTTCACAACATCAAAGGGGGAAGGGGAGAAATGCGGATGAGGAGGAGATTGGGAAGGGGGAGAAGTTCTTTATGTTGAGTATTATGGATTTTACAAAAAGCACTTTGAAAAAAGCAGTCAGCAGTTTTTGAAGTTCAAAAATAGCTCAGCCGTATGACACAACACACTCCTTTCTACTGCAGTTATTAAACATCTGTTCTCCCGCCAAAGCACGGAGCATATCCATGGATAGCTTCCATTAATGTGAATGGAAGCTCTTACCTGCCATAACAGTACTGCACTCTGATGGAGCCTGTTCAGTTTGTCCAGAAAACTTGTCCATTTCATGAGTTGACAGGCCCTTGGTATGGATCCAAGCAAAGAGGAAAATTGCACAGACTCAGAACTACAAATAAAATCATTGTCCGTGTATAGCACTTTCCAATGTTTCTATTTAATATGGTTCAAGATAGCCAGATGTTTACCATCATATTGACCCACATACAGAAAAACCACTATATACATATCAGTCATGAAAGTTCACCATTCTCTCTCTCTCCCTCTCTCTCTCTTTCTCGTCTTCCCTCTGATTTGAAGAATTAGTGATAATAGAATGTCCAGAAACAGAACCTCCCCTGCCAGCTTAGCCCTCTGTAGAGAGCTTTGATTATGGTGTAGTGGAGGTGGGGTAGAGGTAGTGTTAAATGAAATATGGGGTATATCCATATTTTATGAAAAAGCCTAAGAAGATCTTTTAGGTTTTTCCTCATATTCTTCACTTTTGTGCATATAGATTTACAATGTGTATCACGGGCATTCTATTCTAAGTTGCTTATTCATCGCCACCACCATCATCATCATTAAAGAATGTTCATATAAACATCATTAGATAATGGTGATGATAATGACGCTGATGACACTATTTCAAGGATCTGTGATTTTATTAGTGTTGAGCTTCCCCTACCAACACAACACCATCAATAGGGGCAGCTAGGCAGAACAGTAGTTAGAGTTCTGGGCTTAGAATTAGGAAGTTCTGAGTTCAAAACCAAGACAATATACTTGTACTCCAGGGACACTACTTAGACATCTACTAGCTGTGTGATCTTGGCCAAGTTACTTAATCTCTGTTTACCTCAGTTTCCTCAACTATAAAATAAGGATAATAATAGCACCTACCTCTCAGTTATTATGAGGCTCAAATGAGATATTTGTAAAGCTCTTAGCATAATTTTTGGCATATAGTAGCTATATAAATCCTAATTCCTTCCTTCCTTCCTCCCTCCCTTCTCCCTTTCTTTCTTCCTAGAGAAGGGCATAAGGGTATGAAGAAGTAACATTGCTTTTCTATGGTCACACAGGTAGTAATTATCAGAGATGAAATTTGAACCCAGTTTATCCTGGCTTCAAGTACAGCACTCTCCACAGCATCAATACACACACATATACATACATATACACATATATTTTTTTTCTGTCTGGATCTGTGAGTTGTTTGGTTAAAGGGAACTGCTAATGTATTTATTTATACTAATTATTCCTTTTACCCAATGCAGGTCGGATCCTGTTCTTTGACTTAGGGC